CCGTTTTTTGAGTCGTTCTGCAAGACGAATTTCCCTATGGGCTTGCTTCGCAAGACGAAACGTCTTGCGAGTTCTTGCGAGTTTGTTTCTTTTTTCTTAAAGCCGCTAAGCCGCTAAGCCGTTAATAGCCGCTAAGCCGCTAAGCTGCTAATAGCCGCTAAGCCGCTAATAGCCGTGCTTCGCAAGACGAAAAAACCGCAAGACGAAGAGACTCGCGGAACGGATTAATTTCGTCTTGCGAGGCACCACTGTGCTCGTCTATTCTTGCAGCATATGGAGGGGAAGGTTACAGATTACTCTAGAACCTTAGAAAGGTTCTATGCTAAACATTTTTGGATACTGTGCATGCTGAGCTGTGATACTGCTTGGGTTCCCCTGCCCATCAGCACCACAGAAGGACCAGCATGTGAACCAAAGCAGGAACAGTTCATATCACACACCACCAAGCTGAGGCCCTCCAGCTGTTTTGGACTACAACTCCTATCAGCCCCAGCCAAAAGGGGTCTGTTGCCGGGGGCTGATAGGATTTGTAGTCCAACACACTGTAACTAGAGGGCAACAAACTGGCAAAGGCTGAACTATTTCACACCTATTTTTTTGCTGCCCATGAAATGTTTGCTGAATGTGCAATCCAAGAGCTTAAGTGCTTAGAAAAGTGCAGAAGAAATTCCAGTATCCCTTATACCTTTTAAATCAAGGTGTACCTTTATGATTGATCCCACTTCTTAGTGGCACAAAACCTTCTTGAGCAGGAGAGCTATTAGCCCAATATAAAATTTAGGGAACAATATACCTCACCCAGTCCTTTTGAAAATCCTGCTAAGAAAGCAATGGAAAGGAAAGCAAAAGTTCAGCATTGTTTGCAAGACTTTTGAGTACCATTTGATCCCTATTTTATCACCATTTAGGGGAAACAATTATAGTTTAATGCATATATTACGCATCTTGGATCTGCTGTGCCAAACCTCATTTGCATTTTACTTTCCTTTTTATGAGGATATTTGATTCCAGCAAAATATTGTGTGACTGACAGCAACTATTTACATATTCAGTGGCAATGGCTATTTTGATCCCCACTTCAGTGCCATTGATCTCGATTGGACGACAGCAATGAAACTGAGCTGTCTGTTTATGTGTACATCCTTGGAATGGAATATGCTCCCACCAAAATGTGTGAGTTTTGCCACTTGCGTTAAAGCAAAATGTGAGAATTGAAACCTCCCTATGTAAGGAAAACACCACTTACACATAATTACGCCCACGGAACATTTTCCTCTCTTTAAATTCCCTTATGAATGTATGGAATTTTGCTTGTTAGAAATTACTGTACGATGCAATAAGCATTTACGAATTCTCATGACTTAACAACACAGCATGCAGATGAGAGCAAGGCAGAGAATATAATTCCATGGAGATGAGAAAGGGAAACTGGAGCCAGACTGCTAGCGTATGTTCCTCTATTTCTTTATGGGATATTTTCCCTTCATACCATGCTTTCATATTTTGATCTTCTAATTTCTATTGCAGCCAAACTTCAGAAAACGTATGACAGTCCAAAGATCCTGGAAGCTTTGAGCTCCATTGTGACTAGGAAGTAATAATCCGTTTTTTCTTTTAAAAGTGAAGTCTGGTTATTTTTTTTTCAGGTGCTCGGATCAAAAAGCAGATTCCCCTATTATTATTATTTTACTTTGCATTTAAGCATTAAGGGGTCGTGTCCAGAAAGTGGTGTTGGGGGATGAGTGTTCAGACCCTGGGCTCTCACTTGTGGGGTGACTCAGGGTTCTGTCATCTCCCCCATGCTTTTTAATATCTATATGAAGCCGCTGGGAGAGATAATCAGGGGGTTTGGGCTGGGTGCTCATCAGTATGCAGATGACACCCAGCTCTACCTCTCTTTTAAATCAGAACCAGTGAAGGCGGTGAAGGTCCTGTGTGAGTGCCTGGAGGCAGTTGGAGGATGGATGGCGGCTAACAGACTGAGGTTGAATCCTGACAAGACAGAAGTACTGTTTTGGGGGGACAGGGGGCGGGTGGGTGTGGGGGACTCCCTGATCCTGAATGGGGTAACTGTGCCCCTGAAGGACCAGGTGTGCAGCCTGGGGGTCATTTTGGACTCACAGCTGTCCATGGAGGCACAGGTTAATTCTGTGTCCAGGGCAGCTGTCTACCAGCTCCATCTGGTATGCAGGCTGAGACCCTACCTGCCTGCGGACTGTCTTGCCAGAGTGGTGCTTGCTCTAGTTATCTCCCGCTTGGACTACTGCAATGCGCTCTACGTGGGGCTACCTTTGAAGGTGACCCGGAAACTGCAATTAATCCAGAATGCGGCAGCTAGACTGCTGACTGGGAGTGGCCGCCGGGACCATATAACACCGGTCCTGAGAGATCTGCATTGGCTCCCAGTATGTTTCTGAGCACAATTCAAAGTGTTGGTGCTGACCTTTAAAGCCCTAAACAGCCTCGGTCCTGTATACCTGAAGGAGCGTCTCCACCCCCATCGTTCAGCCCGGACATTGAGATCCAGCACTGAGGGCCGTCTGGCAGTTCCCTCATTGCGAGAAGTGAGGTTACAGGGAACCAGACAGAGGGCCTTCTCGGTAGTGGCACCCGCCCTGTGGAACGCCCTCCCTTCAGATGTGAAGGAAATAAGCAGTTATCCTATCTTTAAAAGACATTTGAAGGCAGCCCTGTTTAGGAAAGTTTTTAATATTTAATGCTGTATTGTTTTTAACACTTGATTGGAAGCCGCCCAGAGTGGCTGGGGAAACTCAGCCAGATGGGTGGGGTATAAATAAATTATTATTATTATTATTATTATTATTATTATTATTATTATTATTTAACAACAATAGCTGTAACTTATGAAAAGGCGCACAAAGGAACATGGGACGCTGCCTCTGGCTGAGTCAGACCATTAGCCCATCTTCCTCAGTATTGTCTACACTGACTGCCAGTGTCTCTCCAGAGTTCCAGACTGGGGACAATACCCAGCCCATTCTGGAGATGCCAGAGATTGAAACTGGACCCTTATGCATTCAAAACAGATCATAGTTCACAGAATTGTAGAGTTGGAAGGGACCGTGTGGGGTCACCTGGTCCAATGCTCTGTTACTTAACTACAGCCCTTTCCTGTATGCAACCACTGAAAAAGCATGGGAGAAGATAGTACCTTGCACTGACTGACTGTCACCATCACAGTGACCAGGGTAGGGAATGTGGTGTGCTCACTTTGCACACAGTGGACGCAGGTGGCACTGTGGTCTAAACCACTGAGCCTCTTAGGCTTGCCGATCAGAAGGTCGGCGGTTTGAATCCCTGTGAGAGAGTGAGCTCCCATTGCTCTGTCCCAGTTCCTGCCAACCTGGCAGTTCAAAAGCACACCAGGGCAAGTAGTTAAACAGGTACTGAGGTGGCAGGAAGGTAAATGGTGTTTCCATGTGCTCGGGTTTCCATCATGGTGTCCCATTACGCCAGAAGCTAGTGTTAGGTCCATCATGAGACGTCCACCAGCTTCTAATCACAGATACCAGCAGCCTTCAAACAAGCAAACTTTCCTTATTATCGCTCCCTAGCATCCCACTGCCAGAAATTGCCTCCTTCCATTCACCACTTTGCCTCCTCCAAGTGGAAGAAACCTGGGCAGTGCTGAATGTCACATCCATGGCCAGGTGTGTCCTGCTGGAAATAAAAAAGGGCTTTCCCCTTGGCCTGCCTTTATATCCACTCAGTTGCCAAGTGCCTTTGTGACATCACAAGAAACCCACAGCCAATGGCAACAGCTGGGGAGGCATCACCTTCATTGCTTTGAGCCTCACAATGGTGGGTGGACCTATCAGTGATTGTGTGCTTTTTTATTCAGGACATGGGTGAAGCTGTAGTCTAAACCACTGAGCCTCTTGGGCTTGCCGATCGGAATGTCGGCGGTTCGAATCCCTGTGACTGGGTAAGCTCCCGTTGCTCTGTCCCAGCTCCTGCCAATCTAGCAGTTCGAAAGCACGCCACTGCAAGTAGATAAATAGGTACTGCTGTGGCGGGAAGGTAAACGGCATTTCCATGCACTCTGGCTTCTGTCGCAGTCCTCCATGTGACAGAAGCAGTTTAGTCATGCTGTCCACATGACCCAGAAAGCTGTCTGTGGACAAACGCCAGCTCCTTCGGCCTGAAAGCGAGATGAGCACCGCAACCCCATAGTTGCCACCTTTCTGTTGCAACAGATGCTTACAAGACTACATACAAGCAGGACAGAACAGGGATGTTCATTCACTATTGTTTATCCCAACACCTGCCGTTCTGGTGTAGATGCTGCCTCTGTACATGGATATTTCATTGAGTTAACATAACATAGCCATGGATAGATCCTATCTTCCATGAGCGTGTCTTCTATTGTGTTTATTTGCTTAAGAGAGCCAGTGTGGTGTAGCGGTTAAGAGCGGTGGCCTCGTAATCTGGTGAACTGGGTTCGCGTCCCCGCTCCTCCACATGCAGCTGCTGGGTGACCTTGGGCCAGTCACACTCCTCTGAAGTCTCTCAGCCTCACTCACCTCACAGAGTGTTTGTTGTGGGGGAGGAAGGGAAAGGAGAATGTTAGCTACTTTGAGACTCCTTCGGGTAGTGATAAAGCGGGATATCAAATCCAAACTCTTCTTCTTCTTCTTAAGCCATCATATCTGGACGATGCCCCCCCCAAAAAAAACCTTGTGCAAATTAATCTCAGCATTTATGAATTAAATGATATGGCACTTATTAATTTTTTGTCTGTCTGGAATGTGCAGCAAATCAGCAGGCAGTTGCGCTTCTACTCATCAGAAGTCCCTGTTCAGTGTTTGATTCAGATGGGGACACATTTGGGAGCAACCAGCTGTTACCTCTGATCAGTTGCCAGTGATGACTGTGGGACTTTGGCAATTATGTTTAAAAATCACACACATGTAAATGTTCCTGGCTTCCTCTTAGCCTTATATTCTCTGCTACAAGAGCAAGTTACATGTAGAAGAATCTTAATACCGAACACTGTATTTAATAAATCAAAGTTGTACCTTAAGGTATATTATTAGAAAAATCAATGCATATACCTCATACACAGAGAGATCACACCAAGTCAAAGCCAAAACAAGTTACAAACAATTTGGAGTAGCCATTTATATAAGAATTTAAGTGGGACATCAGAAAGAGAGAGAAAAAATGCTTTTGTACTTAAGAGACAATGAATTATGCTTTGAAAAGTTGCTTCAAGCTAACTTTTCCTGTTGAAATATTAGCTCATTGATTCATGTTACATCACTCACCATTTAATCATTGGATCTTGTCTGTTTTCTCTCTGTTATTGTGCTTATTTTATCATAAAACTACCTTTGAGATTTCCTGTATCAATTTTCTCAGGGAAACAAGACCGGATGTAAGTATTGTTTAATCTAGACAACCACTCATTTCTTGTATCTTCAGTTAAAAATGCTTTTCTTTTCTTTTTTGGCCCATTATCTTCAGCAGACTGACTTCAAAAATATAAATATCTACCGTATTTCTATAGAATGTGTGTGTATGTACACGGTCAATATTCATATTAAGGAATCAGGAACACTTTGATTACATGTTTTGAAGAAAACCCATCCACCTGCTACTTTTGCTATTCTTTACCGACTCTGAAAAGCCACAAGAATGTTCTTCGTCTTGGCACCACGCAGAATGGCATTTCTTTAACCTACAGAAAACGTAAACTGGTGATATTCTTTTTCTACAGACAAAGGTTTGCAGTTCCTTTCTGACTGTGGCTTGTGAGCGACACAGCTACATATTTTGCCATGAGGTGGGGGTGGAGTCACTGTTTTTTCTCTGCCGGCTGATGGAGACAAAGTTCACTCCCGGAAGAAACAATCGGCAAATTGTTCTCCAGGTGGTGGTTGATGAGGTGGTTGATGCTGTCAAATATGCGGTCCTTTGTACGAACCTGAAAAATAGAGGGTGCAAGGAGAAAGTTTGTATATGTTCCACAGAACTGGCGCAACAAAAAACCCAGCCATCAACATATATAAATCTCTGTTATTAGAAAACCAATTTGATGTACAGGTACTGATGGAGGATTGGAATAAAGAATTAGAGATCTCCATTTTGACCACACAGTGGGGAACTGTTTCAACTGCTATAACAAGGGTGTCCCTGGATCTTAAATTGAGGCTCATACAACAAAAAAATAATATACTGGACCCCATTATGTTTGTTTTAAAAAGGGCTGTCTAGGGCATGGGTAGGCAAACTAAGGCCCGGGGGCCGGATACAGCCCAATCACGTTCTAAATCCAGCCCGCGGATGGTCCGGGAATCAGTGTGTTTTTACATGAGTAGAATGTGTCCTTTTATTTAAAACACATCTCTGGGTTATTTGTGGGGCATAGGAATTCATTCATTTTTTTTCTTCCAAAATATAGTCCGGCCCCCCACAAGTTCTGAGGGACAGTGGGCCGGTCCCCTGCTGAAAAAGTTTGCTGACCCCTGGTCTAGGGTATCTAACGTGGAGATGCAATAAGGATAATGCTTCTCTAAAACATATGTCTTTTCATTGTCCTATATTGAAAGATTTTTGGCAGAAGGTAACTGAAACCATCAACAGAATTGTACAGAACAACCTTACATCACAGAGCATAATATCCTCTTGAATTGTATACCCAACACATGGAACCTTACAAAAGGACAATATGAGTGGACTCTCCGTGCCCTGACCACGGCAAAAAGACTGATCCTGATGAATTGGAAAAATAAATATGCGGCTCCCTTCTATGATTGGATTGAAGACTTATACAAACTCGCAACATACAAACAACTTGAATATAAACGCAAACTTGCCATGGCCAAATTCAATGATATTTGGAATCCATTCTTACAAATACTGTAATAGGTTGAGATCTGGTGAAGTACAATAACAACCTTGTAAAATATACAGTTTTGGGTTCCCCCCTCTCCGCTTTGTTTTCCCTTCTGCACGGATTCTGTTTCTCTTTTGTTTGCATCTCACCATGTCTGGTGCACATATAGTTATGTACTTTTTGAACTTTTGATAAATATGTTTTTTTTAAAAACACAAAAATGGCAGTTCTAAATAATGTGGGTTTGTAAAAAAACTATTTTCCTTTTTATTGTATTGTATTGTACTGATCTTGTTCCTTTGTTGTTTGCTGCCCTGAGCTCCTTCGAGAAGAAGGGTGGGGTAGAAATACAATTAACTATTACTGATAATCATGTTGACCTTTAAGCTAAGGACCAAACTAGCCAAATGAATTTTATCCGTTATCCTCAGTCCAATACACGTACAAACCCAGTAAGCCACAAGGCCCAGCAGGAATTTCCTTGGTCTAAGCCCAATACTCTCTCCATTTCATTACAGTGGGTCAGCTGATATAAAACGCTATGTAAACAAAACAGTGTGCATTTTTAGAAATCATTGGGTAGTGTGCCACTAAGTTTTAATCAGAACAGACCCAATGAAATTAGTGGGTCAAACTTTGCCATGTTCATTAACTTCAATGAGCCTAATCTGATTAAAATTAATTGGCCATCTATTATTATTATTATTATTATTATTATTATTATTAGGCAAATGATACTATTGGGAAATTTTGGGGTGGTTCATGCATTCTCTTTCTCTCATCTCCTATTTAGTTTTCTCCCTACCCACAGAAGAGGCAGATCTCTCTTGCCAGAGTTCTGCTCTAATCACTTACAGAGGGCTTTTGAAATTAGTCCAAATCACTTATAAATAATGGGGATAGCAAAGTGGAATTTCCAGCATCAGCGCAGGGATGTGTTTTGAGAACGTCAGAGATTTTGGAAGGTAGCTACATCTTTCTCAACACTAAATTGGCAAAAGACTCACCACCTTTTTGACCCGTGAGGCACAGACAGAAGCACACTTTTGAAATGAAATATCTTTTCTTATTCGCATGAAGCGTTTGGCTTGCTACAAAAACCTCACCAACCTCAGGCAAATTCTCCTCTGTTGGAAATAGTTCCAAAACTAATCTCCGACTGACCTCTAGAGTTAACAGTGTTAGTTGCATTCATTGCTTGAGGGGAGGCTGTGAGCCAGCCAGCAAAATGTCTCTTGCATCTCATGAAAGCGTTGGCGGCACTGCAGTGGCTATTCCGTTCAACTGTTACATACACCTTCCAGAAGATGTGACTAAGGAAAATACTGACAGGGGAGTTTCTGAATTTTGACAGAAAGAGATTACATGTTGCTGAGCTGTCATGGAAATTGCACGCTGGGATCCCGTGTGTTGAGGAACTGCAGGTGGAGCTCTCCTCACACCCCTGTCATGTCATTCATAGATAAGCGGGTGATACTAAGAGACTGGGACGCGGGTGGCGCTGTGGGTTAAACCACAGAGCCTGGGACTTGCTGATCAGAAGGTCGGTGGTTCGAATTCCCACGACGGGGTGAGCTCCCGTTGCTTGGTCCCTGCTCCTGCCAACCTAGCAGTTCGAAAGCACGTCAAAGTGCAAGTAGATAAATAGGTACCGCTCCAGCGGGAAGGTAAACGGCGTTTCTGTGTGCTGCTCTAGTTCACCCAGAAGCGGCTTAGTCATGCTGGCACATGACCCGGAAGCTGTACGCCGGATCCCTCAGCCAATAAAGCGAGATGAGCGCCGCAACCCTAGAGTCATCCGCGACTGGACCTAACGGTCAGGGGTCCCTTTAAAAAGGTAAAGGTACCCCTGCCCGTACGGGCTAGTCTTGCCAGACTCTAGGGTTGTGCGCCCATCTCACTCTATAGGCCGTGGGCCAGCGCTGTCCGGAGACACTTCCGGGTCACGTGGCCAGCGTGACATCGCTGCTCTGGCGAGCCAGAGCCGCACACGGAAACGCCGTTTACCTTCCCGCTTGTAAGCGGTCCCTATTTATCTACTTGCACCCGGGGTGCTTTCGAACTGCTAGGTTGGCAGGCGCTGGGACCCGAACGACGGGAGCGCACCCCGCCGCGGGGATTCGAACCGCCGACCTTTCAATCGGCAAGCCCTAGGCGCTGAGGCTTTTACCCACAGCGCCACCCGCGTCCCTAGGGGTCCCTTTACCTTTAACTAAAAGACTATATGCATCCAGAGTTCAACCCTCAAAAGGAAATTGGTTCTGCACGCAGCAAGTTGGCTGTGTTAGCCTGTTGCAGCAACAACAACAAAGCACAGCAAAAAATCCTGAGGCATCTTAAAGACATGCAAGAAATCATTGTTAGAGGATTACAGGGGGCAGTGGGAGTCCAAATGTTGTCTTTAGAGTCCACTCCAAGCCTCTGGTCTTATATCTGTAAAGTGGGCTTCTCCTGAAGTGGTCAAATGGAACTTTTAGTTGTGTTAATGGCTCCAGCCAGGTCTGCTGTCTCTTTGCAGAGAACGTGTAACTTGTTGCCGCTGATACTGCTAAGCTGGAGATGCCTCCAGAAAGTGGTCAAACGGGAACAGGACTCTGCCCCACTCCCCTGGCTGGAGGCGATGGCGTCTACGATAGGGCGGTTCATAAAAAAAAACTCCACAAAAATAGCTGTTTACTTGGCCGTTTTCCTATGTCGTGAAGGCTGAAATTTCAATTCAGTGGAGCAGGGTCCAGATATTAACTGATATGCCAGAAATTTCAGATATTGCTATATAATCCCCAGGGTAGTAAGATAAGACCTTTGGAGCAAGCATTATTTTTTTAAAAAGTTTTTTCTGAACGGCCCTAGTCTACGAGTGAAAAAGAACATCAGACTCCAGTCTCATCTTGGACAGGACTGGGAAGAGACACAGAGGCTTGGCTTCCTCTCTGTGCTGAATCCAAAGCGCCCCCCCCCCCGTAACCTAATGAATGGGAAACAGGACTTGTCAGAGTGTTGATGCTGTGAGCCCTCCCAACTTATACCTGTGTATATGTGTAAAACCAAAACAAAAAAACCACACCAATTATTACAAAGACAACTCCAGTTATTTTCATTTCAAAGAAACCCAAAGTATACTCTGACAACCTCTGAGAGCTCTTACCACCTGGGGATTGGAGAGCACATTATATTAATACAGTGGTACGTCAGGTTAAGTACTTAATTCGCTCCGGAGCTCCGTTCTTAACATGAAACTGTTCTTAACTTGAAGCACCACTTTAGCTAATGGGGCCTCCTGCTGCTACTGCACCACCGGAGCACGATTTCTGTTCTCATCCTGAAGTGAAGGAATGGGTTTCTGAAACCCATTCCTTCAGAAGCAAAGTTCTTAACCTGAGGTAATATTTCTGGGTTAGTGGAGTCTGTAACCTGAAGCATATGTAACCTGAAGCGTATGTAACCTGAGGTACCACTGTACAATACAGCGGTACCTCGATTTTTGAACGTCTCCATTGATGAATGTTTCGGAACTCGAACACCATAGACCCGGAAGTAAATGCTTCGGTTTCCGAACACACCTCGGAAGTCAAACATGCCACATGGCTTCCGTATTGAGTTTTCCGTTTTGAGGTTTCCATTTTGAGTTTTCGGTTTTTGAACATTTTGGAACTCGAATGGTCTTCCGGACCAGATTACATTCAAAAGCCGAGTTACCACTGTGTCAGGCAGGGGTCCCCAACCTGCGGCCCACGGAGGCCATTTAACCAGCCCACGAGCCACCCTTGAACCAAGCCACCCGCTCGGCGAGTACCCGCGCGCTGCGCTAAACTGGTGCAACACGGCATGGGGACTCTCTTCTGCAGCTCCAAAAATCGCTTCTGCGTGTGCCCAGATGCCGGAAATCGCATCTGTGCATGTCTGCGGCACCGGGAATGGCTTCTGCGCATGTCCAGACACCAGAAATTGCTTCTTCACAGGTGCAATTTTCAACGTGTGGGCATGCGCAGAAGTGATTTCCGGTGCCACGGACATGCACAGACACAATTTCCAGCGTTGTGTTGCGCCGGTCCGGCCCACGGAGAATCTCCACAGGAGTGATCTGGCCCATGCCCAGTAAGCCTTGCCAACCCCTGATATCAGGCTTTGTTGGTTCTATCAGCAGCTGCTGGTAGGGCAGAATGGGGCTTCCCAAAGATGGGGTCGCTGCCAGTTACGGAGAGGGAGCTGAGCAAGGTGCGTTGTGCGAGAGCAGTGGCGGGAACATCCGATTGGCTTTGCCACTGCACTTGCACCACATCAACCTCTCCATCAATCTCATCCTTTTCCGTCACTGTAACTGGCAGTGACCTTGAGGTTGGGGAGTCAGGTAAAGGACCCCATCAACCACTACTGACTTTCTGCACACCATGCCCTGAACATCCTATCACATTTTGGTGCAAAACTATGTTAAGGGAAGTCATGGGTTTCTATACTAACAAGCTTTGAAGAAAGAGATCTACACTAAAAATTATGAAACCAATATCATGATATGGACTTGAAGCTGGTTCTGGATGGTATATTGCTCAGCCGTAACACATCATGCTTCACGCTATATTGCCAGGTAAAAAAATTAAGAAACCGATATCACAATATGGTCTTCAAACTGGTTTCAGATTATATATTGACATATTGTCCAGCCCTAAAATACACTAGTGGCTAAAATTTTGGACTCCTTTAATGAAGAATGTAATAGAGGCAATAATTCAATCTTGGTTTCACATTATTACAGCTGCAGAACTGAAAAAAACTTGGTTCACTCCATGGGAAGGCATTGTAAGGCCGTAATTGAAGCTAAATGTTACCCAACTAAGTATGAACTGACATGGTGAGAATTTTTGTATATCTCATTTTTTCTATGTGTTTCACGTTTCTTCTTCATGACTGCTATTGCAATAAATAATCCTTCACAAAAGTTATTGCATTGCATTCTTCATTACCGGTACATTATCTTTCCATTGACATATAATTTTATGGTATTACTCCAAAAAAAGTGGTGTTATGAGCCACCAAACCTCAGAAATACACTTTTCCCAAAAGGTTTCCACAATTTTGGCCACTACTGTATTCTAGGGCTGGACAGTATATCAATATATCATCTGAAACCAGTTTGAAGCCCATATTGTCATATCTGTTTCATAGGGGTTTTTTACCTGGCAATATAGCACAAATCATGATGTGTGCTAGGGCTGAGCAATATATCGCCCAAAACCAGTTTCAGTCCATATCATGAAATTGGTTTCATAATTTTTGACCTGGCAATAGATTGCGAATTGTGGTGTGTGTGTGTGTGTGTGTGTGTGTGTGTGCTATGCAAACATCACAACGTGGGGGGAAACTGTGAAGCCTGCCAATGCCTCTACATAGCTCCATACTTATTTCAGACATTGTGATTTTTAGCTGGAGATATATCACCAAATATTTGAAAACCAAATATCGCCCAGCCCCAAACTGTTCCCCGTCATTGGGGTCAAATGCTTACAGTTCCTTCGGGATCCACCAAGAGAAGGTGCTTGGCTTGTCCATTGTGTAACCCAGTCAGCACGTACGAGCCTGGATTGGAGGTGCTTTTCCTAACCAGGAAGTCTCCGCATTTCTTTAAGAGCTGTTCGGCTTCTTTCCTGCTCATCTCCCCTTGATACCAGGGTTCTGTGCTCAGTTCTGCTGCCGCACCTTCTGCTCTGGAAAGAAGTGGGCTGGTACATTCAACGGAGGTAGCCTTGTTCAAAATGGGCCCAGGGGTTTGGTTCTTGAGAGCATCTTCAAAGGGGCCTGTTAGTAAGGGTGCGTAACAAATACAAATTAGTGGCATAAGTAGCAGGACAGCAATTCAGCGCAGTTCAGTGACTCGTTGCGTTTTCCTACAATAAAAGTGCTGCCTTGACGAAAGATGTCTGGGTATCTTGCAACAACCTGAAGGCTGGAAGGGTTTCTTCTGTTGGATCCAACTCTATGATTCTATCTTAAATCCCCTTAACTTCCTCTGGATTATATACCTGAAGGAGCGTCTCCACACCCATCATTCAGCCCGGACACTGAGGTCCAGCTCTAAGGGCCTTCTGGCAGTTCCCTCACTGCGAGAAGTGAGGTTACAGGGAACCAGGCAGAGGGCCTTCTCAGTAGTGGCACCCGCCCTGTGCAACGCCCTCCCATCAGATGTCAAGGAAATAAACAACTATCTGACTTTTAGAAGACATCTGAAGGCAGCCCTGTTTAGGGAAGTTTTAATGTTTTATGTTTTATTGTGTTTTAAATAGTCTGTTTAGAGCTGCCCAGAGTGGCTGGGGAGGCCAGGCCAGATGGGTGGGGTATAAGTAATAAATCATTATCATCATATATTATAAGGGGGAGAAATTGTGCTCCCGCTGATCAGTAAATTCAATCGAATAAATTAACAGAGCAAATGACAACTGTGCTAAACTAAGAATAGGGATTTCTCCTAAGTCCCTAGATTTTAGCGCAGCAAATACATACCTCAGTAGGCACCCCAACAGGTATAGGATCAAAAGTTGCTGCTGTGGCAATTACAGTTTTCAAGAAAATTTCTGCTCAACAGCAACAGAAACTGAGAATGATCTCCATTTGGCTAATAGAGTTGTGACAACAGGTTCAATGGCTTCAGGTTTTTTTTGTCCTATTGCCTGTTTTGTAGCTTTGCTTTCCCCTGTCAGGCTTTTAAAGTGAGAAAGTTGCCATCTTTCAGATATGTGAAATGTAGCATTTCAGTTCTTTCAACTATCATTACTCTCTGGTTTTTCTGGATCAATGTGCTGTCATTTTGTAGGGCACACAATTCTGTCTTTGTCACAGCAGGCAAAAAAGAAGACCTCAGCCCTTATTTGCATGGGCGGAGAGGGAGACTTTGAGGAATTCTCCTTCCTCACCGTCATCTCCAGGGACCCTGAGAAAGTGGACTGGCAGGAAGCAGCAAGGCAAGGAACTGTGTCTGGGACAGGTGGTAAAAGTGTAAAAGGAATTAAAGGGGAGACCATGGATGGCACATAGTCTGATATATATGTCTGGGATCTTGTATAGGGTTGTATAGGACGCAGGTAGCGCTGTGGTCTAAACCACTGAGCCTCTTGGGCTTGCCAATCGGAAGGTCAGAGGTTCGAGTGACAGAGTGAGCTCCCATTGCTCTGTCCCAGTTCCTGCCAACCTAGCAGTTCAAAAGCACACCAGGGCAAGTAGTTAAACAGGTACCGCGGTGGCAGGAAGGTAAATGGCGTTTCTGTGTGCTCTGGTTTCCATCACGGTGTCCCATTGTGCCAGAAGCTACTGTTAGGTCCATCATGAGACGTCCACCAGCTTCTAATCACAGATACCAGCAGCCTTCAAGCAAGCAAACGTGCCTTATTATCGCTCCCTAGCATCCCACTGCCAGAGGATTGCCTCCTTCCATTCACCAGTTTGCCTCCTCCAAGTGAAAAAAACCTGGGCAGTGCTGAATGCCACATCCATTGTCAGGTGTGTCCAGCTGGAAGTAGAAAAGGGCTTTCCCCTTGTCCTGCCTTTATATCCACTCAGTTGCCAAGTGCTTTTGTGACATCACAAGAAACCCACAGCCAATGGCAACAGCTGGGGAGGCATCATCTTCATTGCTTGAGCCTCACAATGGCGGGTGGACCTATCAGTGATTGTGTGCTTCTTTATTCAGGACACGGGTGGAGCTGTAATCTAACCCACTGAGCCTCTTGGGGCTGTATAGAACGCGAGTGGCACTCTAAACCACTGAGCCTCTTGGGCTTGCCGATCAGAAGGTTGGCAGTTCAAATCCCCGCAACAGGGTGAGCTCCATTGCTCTGTCCCAGCTCCTGCCAACCTAGCAGTTCAAAAGCACACCAGAGCAAGTACAGGTACTCCTGTGGCAGAAAGGTAAACAGCGTTTCCGGGCAATCTGGTTTCCGTCATGGTGTTCTGTTGTGCCAGAAGTGGTTTAGTCCTACTGGTCACATGACCCAGAAAGCTGCCTGTGGGCAAACACCGGCTCCCTCGGCCTGAAAGCAAGATGAGTGCCGCAACCCCATAGTTGCCTTTGACTGGACTTAACCATCCAGGGGCCCTTTACCTTTTTTACCTTTCTATACAGTGGTGCCTCACAAGACGAAATTAATCCGTTCCGCGAGTCTCTTCGTCTTGCGGTTTTTTCGTCTTGCGAAGCACGGCTATTAGCGGCTTAGCAGCTATTAGCGGCTTAGCGGCTATTAACGGCTTAGCGGCTTAGCAGCTATTAACGGCTTAGCGGCTTTAAGAAAAAGGAAACAAACTCGCAAGAACTCGCAAGACGTTTCATCTTGCGAAGCAAGCCCATAGGGAAATTCGTCTTGCGGAACGACTCAAAAAACGGAAAACCCTTTCGTCTAGCGAGTTTTTCGTCTTGCGAGGCATTTGTCTTGCGGGGCACCACTGTATAGGGTTGCCACATGTCCTGCCTAATACAACAGCTAAAGAAACACCCCTCCCTTACAGCTATTAACTGAATGATTGTTGGCAAAATACTGAGTTCTGAGATGCAAGGAAAATTCAAAGAGAGGCTTTTAGAGAATTTTCAGGAGGAACTTACTCATGTCAAAAAGATCTTTTTCTGGGCTGCTGTCTTTGGTACTTTCTGTTGTTCCACTAAAGAGGTTTTCAGCATCTGCCTGAAGAGCCTGAAGGATTTCCATATTTATGTGTTGCGTATTCACATAGGCCGCTACCTCTCCTGGTGGGGTTACATTAGATTTTCCTTCCGGCAGGCTGTAAATGTCCAAAGAGCCTGCAAAAATCAATGCAACCTTTTTTTTTTGTCCCAGTTTGCAGTAAGGCAATTTAAAAGAGCATCCTTTGGCCTCGGGCTGTTTCCACACTAGAGGTGCAATGAGATGGGTGCCTATGGCAGGATCAGGGCTTCTTGTGAGTGTGGATGGTGTTCTTTTTGTCAAAATGATGGGTGGGTTCAGATTGATGATGGGCATAACGTGCTGCATTTAATGAAATATACTGAATTATTTCAGGAGTTAGAATGCTGTTTGAATACACAAGTTATGGGGATAAAAGTACTTCTCGTAGCCCAAACAAAGGGGATAAATTGCATCCTGGACATATTCTCATTACATCTAAGGGGGTCACAGAAATGGCTTATGTATCAGAAGAAAAGGAAGCCTCAAAGGTTTCCAATACGGCCATTTTCTCTATATATAATATATAGGGCTGGATTCAACCACCCAGTGGGAGTCGGGGCAAGGATTCCTGCTTCCACAATAAGGCTTATCCCCCTCCTCCCACTGAGTGCTCCTGTGTCTCCCCCAAATCTACTCTGGGGGGTTATGAATACTTCCATGGGGGAAGAACCATCTCCTTTGTGCTATGCTGAATTCCACCCAGAATGTTTGTTGGCTTAGTTTTGCATTTGTCTCCACCTCCTTTCGCTCACCCACCTCCAACTTTCCCACCACTGTATGGCGGAATAAACATTTTTTTAAAAAAAGAAACAGCCATAGAATTTAAGCCCATGACTAAAACAGGCTCAAAAGTATGCTGGAAATTAAGGGAAAAGAAGGCACCTTTTATCATACTGTATGTGGTGGAAATGTAAGCGAGTAAAAGGATTTTGGGAAATGATATAGAATGAGTTGAAAAAAATGTTTAAAATAACCTTTGCTAAAAAAAAAAACCCTGAAGCCTTCCTTTTAGGAATTCTAGGTGCCAAAATCCCAAGGGAGCAGAAAAGACTATCTATGTATGCGACCACGGCTGCGTGGATGTTATTGGCCCAGAGATCTTTCCATAAAGTTCCTACCAGAGAAGAATGGCAGATGAAATTGATGGACTATGCTGAAGTGGCTAAAATGGCCGGAAGAATCATAAATCAGGAAGACCAAAATTTTAATAAGGAATGGGGGAAATAAATTTACAATCTTAAGGAGCATTGTAAACAGTTAAAATCGTTAGTTGGATTGGAATATCACTTGTAGTTTAATGGTGAATTCTGGATACAATGGAGATGTAAAAGATTTGGATCATTATAAAAGATGCAGGAGGAAATTATTAATAGGACCACAAAAGGAAGCCCAGGAGATTCCTTGAAATCTTGTTAAAAGCCTCAGCGCCTAGGGCTTGCTGATCGAAAGGTCAGCGGTTCGAATCCCCGCGGCGGGGTGCGCTCCCGTTGCTCGGTCCCAGCGCCTGCCAACCTAGCAGTTCGAAAGCACCTCCGAGTGCAAGTAGATAAATAGGGACCGCTTACTGGCGGGAAGGTAAACGGCATTCCGTGTGCTGCGCTGGCTCGCCAGATGCAGCTTTGTCACGCTGTCTTCGGACAGCGCTGGCCCTCGGCCTCTTGAGTGAGATAGGCGCACAACCCTAGAGTCTGTCAAGACTGGGCCGAACGGGCAGGGGTACCTTTACCTTTACCTTTTATGTTCAATATATGACTGTAAAATTTTAATCTGAAAAACCAAATAAATTTTAAAAAATTAAAAAGAATTTAAGCCTATGACATGAAGACTTCCACCAATCCACATTCTTCTGTTTGCCTCTAGAACTCATGCAGCAAAAGTGCAACCATTCAAAGCAAAGCTTACCTTGCCTACTGGGTCGCTGTTGTTGATCTTCGCCAAATAGGTCCCTTACGTATTGGCTCTGGTAGTATGTTTGCTCTCTTCCCATTGCGGATGCAGACTAAGGTGGCAGTAAAAATAGTCTTCATGCAAACTCTACCTTTTAAAAACTGCAATGCATTTTCAGTGGGTCTTTTATATGATTGGTCCAGGTGCAATTCTACCCAAACCCAGTCTTCGTTCATTCATCATGTATGACACTATGACTGAGCATTCTTTTATGAATGAGTTTGCGTAGGAGGAGGATGAGAGAAATGATGACCTTCGGGGAAATTGCACTCCTTTCCTGTTTTATTAACCCCTGTAATTCTAAATGACAAAGTAGGTATATTACATCTATAAAAGGAACCCCTCCAGTTCAATCACCTTTTCCTGGAACAAACTTGACAGCCTAATGATTTCCAATGAACTTTTACAAACACAGAGACACAGAAAGGATGCTGGAACATTATTAAAATCATATGATGGCTACGTGTAAAACTTTGTTTCCCAATGCAGGGCTCATCCAGCCTCCCTTTCGTGCTGAATTTCTAGGCATAGGTCCCTTTTGCCCCTAGAAAGTGTGGGGCAAAAGGTCAGTGTGGGTGAACCCGCAAATAAGGACTTTAGGGATGCAAAGTAGAATACCAAGGAAGAAATCCCATCATAGTACTTTTCTTCCCACTTTGCCATCTTTTCAGTAAATGTATGCTCATTCAAGATTACATGAAGAATACAGAAAAGAACCGTGTATATGAAATCTACTGCTATTCACTTATCTCACACAACTATATATGCATAGATATAAATCACAATAAATTTAAGTAACTCAATGAATGTTGCTTCCATATGAATGAAAAGCAACGCAAATATTCACCATGGCAGATTTGCCAAAATTCCAAGATTCCTGGCAGGAGAAGAAAATCACAACCCATTGCAGCATTAAAGTTTGAGGGAAGAGTTGCCCACAAATAAATTGTCTGTGGGGTGTGTAGTTTACACTTCAGTAAGCGTCTGAAAGGGACGCAGGTGGTGCTGTGGGTTAAACCCAGAGCCTAGGACTTGTCGATCAGAAGGTCAGCGGTTTGAATCCCCGCGGTGGGGTAAGCTCTCATTGCTCGGTCCCTGCTCCTGCCAACCTAGCAGTTCGAAAGCACGGCAAAGTGCAAGTAGATAAATAGGTACCGCTCCGGCGGGAAGGTAAACGGCGTTTCCGTGCGCTGCTCTGGTTCACCAGAAGTGGCTTAGTCATGCTGGCCACATGACCCGGAAGCTGTACGCCGGCTCCCTCGGCCAATAAAGCGAGATGAGCGCCGCAACCCCAGAGTCAGTCACGACTGGACCTAATGGTCAGGGGTCCCTTTACCTTTACCTTTAAGCATCTAAAACATCCTCTCTTGCATCAATCCCCTGAACTCAAGCTCATAGGAATTTAAACAGTTTGGAGATTCAAGGGGGGGTAGCAAGAGACATTCGGCAGGCATTTCCTGTGTCAACTTTTACGTGCTGGTGAAAATTTTTCTAATCCTCCAGATCTATGCAAGCAATTCAGAGTACATTCCCCACATTGATCTATTGATGGTCGCTTTTAATTTCTTTTTGCTTTCAACTTCTTTTTAATGTTTTATTATGTTATTGTTTGGTTTTATGTTTTTCTATTGTCATAGACCGCTGTGATATATTTTTATAAATGAATCCACAGAGCTACATTTGTGAAACCTTTGCTATTTCCCCACTCATCTAAACTAGACTGCAGTGCTACGTGGTGATCTATGCAGTTTGAAACCCAACATGATAGACGGCAGGAGTAGCACATCACAAGCAATTTCTTTCCTACCTGTAGTGAGTGCACACCTTCCGTATATGAACGTATGCAGTATATCAGACATCCCCACATAGACATAATGTTTCACCACAGAGTACACTTATAAGATCCAATGCACGTTGGACCAAATCACATTGATTTTGTCTGAGATCTCAATTGTGCTGCTCACGCATTCTTCCTGCCGAAAGATTAAGTCCACGTGTGGATGTTCAATGGTCTTGGAGATGGGACAGGCTTTCCAGGTAGACATGAGGGGACAGTCTAATCTACTCTCCCACCAGACAAAGGAGAACAGTGGGGGATGTTATTGACCAAACGGAACCGGGAGCCCTTAAACACAAAGAGAAGTGCTTCCCGGGTTGTGGTAGAGATTGCTCATACACTTGCTGAGCAACAATGCTCCTCGTGTGGTGAAATATCAGGCGCACACTCCTCAAACACACATAGACCAGGTGAGGTGGAGGCCTATATACATCTAGACCCAATTTCCCTAAAAAAACAAAAAGAATAGATGGCACAAATCAGGACTATGTGTGTATGGGCATCCATGTAATGGGTCTGCCTTAAATATCCATAACAAAAAAAAATTCCTTCCAGTAGCACCTTAAAGACCAACTAAGTTAGTTCTTGGTATGAGCTTTCGTGTGCATGCACACTTCTTCAGATACACACACTTGGTATCTGAAGAAGTGTGCATGCACACGAAAGCTCATACCAAGAACTAACTTAGTTGGTCTTTAAGGTGCTACTGGAAGGAATTTTTTTTTGTTTTGACTATGGCAGACCAACACGGCTACCTATCTGTAACTTAAATATCCATGTTTTTGGTAGAAGTGAGGAGGACTGCCACCCAGTGGGTGTATGAACTGGCTCTTTCAACTGGTGAATCAACACCTTTTGCTTAAAAGATCCATGATAAGTTATCCTTTATACAGCTATTTTCAGTCCATTAAAATAACACCCAAGAGAACCAAGCTAGGATTCATTGGCCTACCTGAGTAGGATCTGACACAGAGGGGAGCTTGGCTCTGAGCCTTGCATCAACCAGGCCCCCAGTCGGAGGTATTTTGTTAGGAATGTTGTTGTAATATGGATGCTCTGCTGCTGCCTCAACATCTTCTTCCATCCAAAGTTCATCCAAACTTTGCATCCTGTCGGAAAGAAGCTCTGTTACTTTGTTCCTTCAGTTTTTTATTCAGTTGTCTATTTAATTGCCAACATCTAAAATGTGACAAATATATCCCTTAACAAATTCAGTCCCGTTGTTATATAAACTATAGAATTCACCTTTGGACATAATCCAACAGTTTGAGGGATCTCTCGAATTGGCTTAATAGGTTCTCTGTTGACCAGCATATTCTCAGATACAATAGTCCCTTGTATTAACTACTTTGTTGCAGTACAATCCAAGACTGGGAGTAAGGGGTCTTCCACACTTTTTCGTGACCTGTATTTTGGTGTATTGTGTACCGATTTAATTCTACCAGGCCCAAGAGCTTTTCTTGTTGTTTTGTGGTTGTGCCTTTCAAAACTCCAATATTACCTGCTGAATCAGATCTTAGCAGATGTGCGGAAAATTCAAAGGGAGGTTTTGCTTAACCGAGCTTCAATTCAGCAGGTATGATCGGAAGTTCGCAATGGGCAGCTGAAAGGACACTGTTATTGCTTTCTCTGTTACAGAGAGCAAGGGTTTGAGGCTGGCACCCAAGTTCGCTCCCTGAACAGCCTCCAGAAGCTTTGGGGGAAAACAACAACCATCATTCTCTGACCATTGGACTGTGCTGGCTGGGTCTGGTGGCCACATTCAACAAGATTTGGAAGACATCAAGTTGAGTGAGGCTGTTCCAGTGATGTAAGCCTTATTCTGTTGGATGGGGCAGGTGTCACAATAATCTGTTGTGAGTCAAGTACTGCAGCCAGTTGTTCCCTCCTGCAAATGAACTCTCCTTTTATTTTAGCAGTCCTTGAAGGAAACAGCACTTCCACACAAAAATCAAAACTTCTCTTGTACTTGCTCACCTATCATGAAGAGCCGGGATCTTTGAGGGGCATTGCAAATATTGCTTAAAACGCAGTTCAAATGCTTGTCCTATACTGCTGATAATATCCTGGGCCAGGCCATCAGAGCACTCCAGGATATGACACGCTAAAGGAACGGGGAAACAAGAAAAGTATTTTAGAGTCTAAGCTTGAAGCTTGAAGAAATCAATGCTGTAGTTGTAGCAGTAGTAATCATCATCATCATCATCCACTCTGGCAGGCTTCCAGCAAAATATTTAAATATTTTTAAAAAATTAAATACAAGTACTTTTACACCTTTGTCCTTTGCTTAAAAAAGATAAACTTAAAACAATCTATGGCTATTTTTTTAAAAAAAACAAAAACTTTGGCATAAGTAAAATTTAAAACCATAGTTCTAATATATGGGACTTATTTTTAAAACAGATGTTTCCCATCCCCTACATACAAGGTTGCATTCAACTCAGTCCTACTCAGAGTAGACCCACTGAAGTTAGTGAGCCTAAGTTAGTAATGCCTATTAACTTCAACAAGTGTGCTCTGAGTTGTATACCACCCCAGGCGTCCCAAAAGTTTGCTTTTAAAAATATCACTGGCAGTTTCTGTGTGCCTCCCTATCTTTTCTAAAAATTAAAAGTATCTTTTAAAAGACACACACACACACACAAACACACACACACACACACGCACTTAAAAAAATAATAATTAGTGTCCCCATGGTCTCTTGTTTTGATACCAAAAGGGCTTTTCTTTTCTTTTTCTTTTTGGTCACTCCAGACCACTCCAAAATTTAAAAGACAGCTACCAAGCTGTCCATCCCTCATGGGGAAGTAGACTAATGGCTCATTCACCTTCCAACTTAATAGTTTATTTTTTTAAAAAAAAAAGATATTTATTGAAGTTTTCAGATTTAATACAATAAAAAAACTTAATAGTTTATAACCTTCTATAGCAAACCTGCTAGGTTGGCAGGCGCTGGGACCGAACGACGGGAGCGCACCCCGCCGCGGGGATTCGAACCTAGCAGTTCGAAAGCAACCTAGCAGTTCGAAAGCACCCCCGGGTGCAAGTAGATAAATAGGGACCGCTTACAAGCGGGAAGGTAAACGGCGTTTCCGTGTGCGGCTCTGGCTCGCCAGAGCAGCGATGTCACGCTGGCCACGTGACCCGGAAGTGTCTCCGGACAGCGCTGGCCCACGGCCTATAGAGTGAGATGGGCGCACAACCCTAGAGTCTGGCAAGACTAGCCCGTACGGGCAGGGGTACCTTTACCTTTACCTTATAGCAAACCTGTACATATTTCACTAGACCACATCATCTAGGAGGCTACAAATAATTTTCTTCCTCCTTGGCGTTTTCTGATTAATTACTTCTAGTTAATACAGCTGCAAGAGAAGAGTCTCACAAAAACTCTGAGGAAGTGACTGAGCTAGCAACTCAAAAGATTGCTCAAACTGAGAAACATTCCTTAAGTTAAACCTTGTCCGCAGCACCATATAAATGTCCTGAGTTTAGTGGGGCACCTTATGGCTGCAAACTGAGCAGCTGCCTAGCCTTTCAGGTGAATTTCTATGCAGGAACTGAGGTTCAAATCAAATCCCCACGCAGCCCAGTGGATGGCTTTGACCAAGTCATTGACTCACTGCCAGACCTACTTCATAAGGTTCAAAATGCAACTTTGAGGACCAAACTAGACATAGGAATATACTGTAGGAAGTTGCCTTTTACCAAGTTGGACCATTGGTCAGGCTATCTCAGTATGGTCTTCTGAACTTGGGACCTTCTGAAATGGAAATGGATTGATTCAAAAGGGGTGGGTGGGAAGGTTTCTGCTCTCTATGGAAGCCACATGCAGCTAGCCTCACTGCCAGGCTGGGCAAGGCAACAGCCAATGGCCAACCATCCAACGAGACACCACCCTCCAAGTGGGGCCTCCGATTGGCCCACTGAAATTGCCCTCTTTGGTGGGAAGACTGCCTCTCGCTATCGCCGGTCAAGGGGAATTCCCCAGCAGCAGCTGGAGAGCAAGCATGCTCTAGCTGCCGGGGCGAAGGTGAAACGCAAGGGGGCCACAACTGTCGCCCGCCCCGCCCCCATAAATGTGGCGAGTGGCTATTATCTACTGCTGAACTACAGCCCTTCCCCAAGACAAGATAATAGAGATTTGTGTCCATCCCACCTCTTAACATTTTGGCAAACAGAAATTGTGTAAGGGGCCATTTGGATCGGGACCACAGTCATGGGTAGTTAACCCTTTCTCCAGTATTGTGCCTGCCTACACATGGTTTTCTTCTAACTGGTGGGAATAGTGTGGGATGTAATCCACTGGGAGCAGTCAAGTACAACATTCCTTGTTTTCCTAGAGTGGACATGCAAGGAAATGTTTGGTCCAGCCAGTTGAAACTCCCTGTTCCTTCTGGCTGGAGCATCCTTCCTTTTGCATGTGATAGAAGGTGGGTGTGACCTAACCTGTCCAGGTAACAAAAGGATGAGTCACGCAGCAATTCTCTCTCTTTTCCATCTTCCTTTCATCGTGTGAACTGCTGGACTGCTAGCCTGCAGTCACTGGGATTATTCCCCCATATGGAGTAGATCCACATGTACATATTGTAACTAAGTCTGCCTTCAGGGATCCAACTGTGAACTGATGTAAGTAAACTTCTTTTATTGACTTTGAATAAGATTGTGGTGTCTTTATTCTTTTAAGAGGGATTCAAGGGAACTTACCATGAATGTACAATTCAATCTGAGACAGACTGAATCGTACAATAGTGAGAGGCTCACACGAGCCTGCAACCAGCTATCTGCTGTGCATGTAGAAGGTGAACGTAGCTCCGCTAAGTAAAGGAACTTGCTAGCGCAAGTTAGGAAGGATATTAATAAACAATATATCCTCTCCTGCCACCCTGAACATTCCCACTAATAGGAGCTCCATGAAAGGCTCGTGTGTGATGAGAGGCAGGACTGAAATTTGGACATGCTTCAAGGTCAGACTGTGGGAAGTGGTAAAATTAAAAATTACAATTTGGAAGATAATTTGACTTTTTATTTTAGTTTTTTTTTATTGGATTATGATTTGATATGTTAATGGGATGTCTTTTCTTGGAAAATTAACAAATGTTCTAACAAAAGAAAGAAAGAAAGAAAGAAAGAAAGAAAGAAAGAAAGAAAGAAAGAAAGGCTTGTGTGTGTTTTCCATATGTAGAAGTGGCAGTTAGGAGAAAAGGCTGGTCACCACAGTCTCCAAACCCTGGAGCTGCTGTTTTCCATAATTTTAAGAAACAGGAAATCCCATCTCAGAGCTCTGACATCTCATCTGATTTGGCAACTGAGCTCTTTGGAGGCGAGGCGGGATGCGAATGTAAGAAATAACAGAATACACTTTGAATATGGTGCATGATACCGTTAGCGGAAGGGAAGCCATTATCAATAGAACACAGTGCCTTAATGAGAATCTGAGCAGCGTATGTTTTCAAAAAGAAGAGGAGATTGAATGTTAAGCAGTACTTTACCTCTGCGATTCACAGGGTCCTTAGCTACATAGGCGACATAGTCTGTTGTATCCTGTTGGCAGAGGGAGGGGAGATGGAGGGGGGCAAGGAGACAAACATCTACCATGAATATCATGTGAGTTTTCATTTTATGCTGCAACAAAGGTGCGCTGCTTTTCATCTGAGTGTTTGCAACTGGTTGCCTGTGCTTGGATACCATGGTGACGAGTGTGTTATAAATATCATCCAGACAGAGAGATTAGATTCTAGAGTAGATACATTAAGGCAGGAAGGCACAGAGAACCTCTTGCACAGAAAACCCTGCAAAATAATAGAGCGTGTCCTTGGTATAAAATCATCAATTCAAAGGCTATAATACCATTAAAAACTGGGCCATCTTTTTCAGTATCTATCGAAAGGTACCCAAATTACAATTAAAATGGCATGCTGTATATTGAGGAGGTACAATTTTCTTAAAGCAACAAACCATTTTTGTTGTTACATCTGAAATGAGCCAATATTTTTATAAGTGGGGAAATGTATTATCTGCCCCCCCACAAGTGCTTTTGTAAATTGTGAGTGGGATTTCAGGAGTGTTGTATCAATGGGATATTAGTCGAGAGAATACCACATGTTCCTGCTGAGGAACATTGCAACTCTTTTTTTTCTTCTGTGCCCAAACACAATCTGTACCACACTGAGGTGTGTTTGTAAGTCTTCAGTATTTAAGCTAAAAAGCACAAAGTTTGTGGTAAGAGAATATGCAAGAGATGAGTTTCAACTTACAATATAAGTTTATAAAAAGTGGGGGGGGAGCAGAGGAGGAAGAAAAGGGAGAGGTAACTACAAATAAATATGGGCACAGCTCACAAACGCAACAATAATTCACCCATTTGAGTCATCACTAGGGTCATAGGGAGGGGAGCTGTGGCCCTGCAAATGTTGCTGGAATATCGCTCCCATAATCCCTGAGCATTGGCCACGCTGGTTGAGCTGATCTGGTGGGCGACAGGTTCCCTAACTCTGGCTAAGGTCATACCATCAATAAGCGAAGATGTTTGTGTGATCAATCACAGATTGATCACTACAGCTAAAAATATAAGGCGAGCCTGGTGGATCGGGCCAACGGCCTGCTCAGCTGCCTGTTCTGACAGTGGCCAACCAGATGCCTGTGACAAACCCACAAGGAGGATTCAAGCACAACAGCACTCTCCCCTTCTGTCGTTTCCAGCAACCGATATTCAGAAAACAACAACAACATTATACAGTCATACCTTGGGTTGAAGTAGCTTCGGGATGAATATAGCAAAGTTTTTATCAGTGGTTGCAAGAACCAATGATCCCTATAGTCTGAACAAAACGCTTGTTTAACCTGGAGGTAGGCTGTATGAATTGTGTATTGCTTTGTAGCGATTTGTTGGGTCTCTGGACCGTAATAAAGATTGTTGTTGTTGTTGAATATTTTTGGGTTGCGCTCCATGGCAACCCATGCGTTACTTCCAGGCTTCGCCACTCACGCATGCGCAGACGCTCAAAATGACGTCACACACATGCACGGAAGTGGCAAAACGCAGCACGCACAGACGCGTGTTACATTCGCTTCAGGATGCGAACGGGGCTCCGGAACAGATCCCGTTCACATCGAAAGGTACCACTGTATATTTGTTTGTTTGTTTGTTTGTTTATATGCCCCGTCCATCAGGCTGGGTTTCCCCAGCCACTCTGTGCGGTTCCCAACAGATTAAAAACAGAATAAAACATCAAACATTAAAAACTTCCCTAAACAAGGGCTGCCTTCAGATGTCTTCGAAAAGTCAGATAGTTGTTTATTTCCCTGACATGTGATGGGAGGGCATTCCACAGGGCAGGCACCACTACCGAGAAGGCCCTCTGCCTGGTTACCCCTGTAACCTCACTTCTCGCAGTGAGGGAACCGCCAGAAGGCCCTTGGAGCTGGACCTCAGTGTCCGGGCAAAATGATTACTGCCTCCAATTGTGAATGCACAGCATAGTTGGATGGAATTTTGATACCACCTGCTTTCAAGTCATGCAAAACTTTTCAAAGGGGACAGTTCATGCGTTCAACTGAGATCCACCGTAGTGAGAGATGCATGTGTAAATTTAGCCCTGTGTCACAACAATCCTTTGAACTGGGCCTCTCCTCCACCCATCTCTTGCTTGCCCCTAGGCAACTCACGTTCCGAAAATTCAGTAGGCAGTGGCATTTCAGGAGCTGACGCTTGGGTTACAAATAGAGGCTAAATAACTGTAGAGACTAGAAACACCTCTGCCCACAGCAGAAATTGCTCATTATACAGTCATTTAGTGTTCAGACCGCTATGCTATTGATAATATGGGCTTCTTCCTTTTTTCTTTCTTTTTAATCATGAAGTTATTTTCACAACATATTGGCTTCATTTCATCTTTACTGTAACACCTTTGAGAGTACCTTCATATATCACAGGAGTGTTCGTGTTAAACTGTATGATGATGCCTTGTTTTGAATTTCCAGAGCTTTCACTTAGAACTTAATGGCAAAGGTCTAATTAGTGATATTTCCAGAACAAGTTAAGTGATCAGTTGCGGCACAGTACCCTTACATCAGTACCACAGTATGATTTCATCAGTTCCAAAACGAGAAAGGTTCTAAATAAATGAATCAAATGCTTACCACATCGACTCCAGACGCAAAGGAAATAGACTGCATATGATGGTTTGCTATAATCTGGAAAGGGTTCAGGAAAAGATTAGCATGAGTGTGAGATGCAGTCAGACTTTCCAGAGTCACATTTGCACCATCTGTTTAAAGCACATGGTTTCCCCCAAAGAATTCTGGGAAGTGTAGTTTACCTCTCCCCAGAGACACACAGTTCCATGCAGCTATAGCAAACTACAGTTTCCAGGTAAAGGTAGGTAGCTGTGTTAGTCTGCTGTAGTCGAAACAAAATAAAAAAATTCCTTCCAGTAGCACCTTAAAGGTAAAGGGACCCCTGACCATTAGGTCCGGTCATGGCCGACTCTGGGGTTGCGGCGCTCATCTCGCTTTATTGGCCGAGGGAGCTGGTGTACAGCTTCCGGGTCATGTGGCCAGCATGACTAAGCTGCTTCTGGCGAACCAGAGCAGCGCACGGAAATGCCGTTTACCTTCCCGCTGGAGTGGTACCTATTTATCTACTTGCACTTTGATGTTCTTTCGGACTGCTAGGTTGGCAGGAGCAGGGACCGAGCAACGGGAGCTCACCCTGTCACAGGGATTCGAACCGCCGACCTTCTGATCGGCAAGTCTTAGGCTCTGTGGTTTAACCCACAGCGCCACCTGCGTCCCTAGTAGCACCTTAGAGACCAGCTAAGTTTGTTATTGGTGTGAGCTTTCGTGTGCGTGCACACTTCTTCAGATATCTGAAGAAGTGTATCTGAAGAAGTGTGCATGCACACGAAAGCTCACACCAATAACAAACTTGTTGTTGTTTAGTCATTTAGTCGTGTCCGACTCTTTGTGACCCCATGGACCAGAGCATGCCAGGCACTCCTGTCTTCCACTGCCTCCCGCAGTTTGGTCAAACTCATGCTGGTAACCTCGAAAACACTATCCAACCATCTCGCCTCTGTCGTCCCCTTCTCCTTGTGCCCTCAATCTTTCCCAACATCAGGGTCTTTTCCAGGGAGTCTTCTCTTCTCAAGAGGTGGCCAAATTATTGGAGCCTCAGCTTCAGGATCTATAACAAACTTCGTTGGTCTCTAAGGTGCTACTGGAAGGAATTTTTTTGATTTTGTTTTGACTACAGTTTCCAGGGTTGGTTTGGGGGCAACCATGAGCTTGAAACGTCCTCGAAAGCCTAAAAACAGAAACAATAACATCGAAAACAAATGTGCAAAGTCGTGCGTCTCCAAACCTTCTGTGACAGCATGCCCAGATGGCAACTCCCCAGGATCTCAGAGCGGCACTCAGATGCTAAACCCAAAGTCCTGGAATCTTGCAAGGCGGGCTGGCTTTTGGTGTCATCGCAGTATGACTCTTGCCCCACGGATCCTGCAGCCCACAGGTCCTGCCTTAGGCAGAGTGGGCAGGCAAGGACAGGTGGAAGCACAGCACGGAGTCACCCGCTTGTGCAGATTGTGGGAAGTCGTTTGCAATGAATGCGCATCCACCAAACCCCATTTGAAACCACCATCTGGGTGCCCTTTGAGTCAGAATACCCTAAGCATACTGCCAAATTGAAGAAGCGTACATGTTTCACCGCGGCTGGAGAAGGTGGCAAGAAGGGATAAGGAAATACACTTACAGCTGCCTTATACCATGTTAGATAGCATAGATAGTTCTGCAATGCAGAAATTGGTCCAGAATTTCTGCCACCAATTGGCAGCAGCTCTCCAGGGCTTTATACAGGAGTCTTTTCCATCCTTACCTAGAGAGGTCGGGAATTAAACATTTTGCATGCAGAGAATGTGCCCTACCATGGAGCTAAAAGGTAATGGTAAAGGGACCCCTGACCATTAGGTCCAGTCGTGACCGACTCTGGGGTTGCGGCTCTCATCTCGCTTTATTGGCCGAGGGAGCCGGCGTACAGCTTCTGGGTCATGTGGCCAGCATGACTAAGCTACTTCTGGTGAACCAGAGCAGCGCACGAAAATGCCGTTTACCTTCCCTATTTATCTACTTGCACTGTGACGTGCTTTCGAACTGCTAGGTTAGCAGGAGCTGGGACCGAGCAACGGGAGCTCACCCCGCTGTGGGGATTCGAACCGCCGACCTTCTGATCAGCAAGTCCTAGGCTCTGTGGTTTAACCCACAGCGCTACCCATGTCCCAGACCCACACCCTTTTTTATGGTACTTTTATCCTAGGGAAAAGAGAGAGAGACGCGTTTGCTTACTTTGTAGTCCCATTTTAGTAGGAAAATAGGAAGTTGTCTTATATTAGCCAGACCGTTGGTCTATCTAGCTGTCAGGCAGCAGAGGATCGAACCCCCATGGCAGGTTGCCAGGAATGGATAATACAAGGAAAAGTTCATACCAACTGCTTTTTAGTCAATATTCACAGAGAGATGCTTGGAAATGCAGCCTCCTGGAATACAGTGGTACCTCAGGTTAAGTACTTAATTTGTTCCAGAGGTCCGTTCTTAACCTGAAACTGTTCTTAACCTGAAGCACCACTTACCTAATGGGGCCTCCTGCTGCCGCTGCACCGCTGGAGCACGATTTCTGTTCTCATCCTGAAGCAAAGTTATTAACTGAGGTACTATTTCTGGGTTAGCGGAGTCTGTAACCTGAAGCGTATGTAACCTGAGGTACCACTGTAATGACGTTGCCCCGAGTAAGTCTCCACTCCCTTCCTCTCTCATGCGTCACAGCTACGGGTGCTGAAAAGTGCCCTCTGCCTTTGAGCTCTCTGCTCTCCTACTTTCAAGGCTCGCCAGGTTTTGGGAGACAGGGGGTATGGAATGCTTTCTAAAGACAATGAATCTGTTGGCTGTCCTCCCTCTGGTCCTTCTTCTTCCTCCTCTCCCAGCTTTTCCCCTCCTCTGCCTCTGAGCTGTGATCTCCCTCAACCCCCTGTTGTAATTCTGAACTGACTTTTTCTTCTCTAGAAGGTCAGGCTGGGGAGTCGGTCTCCGCCATCACTCCTCTGCCCCGTCCCTGACACTAACTCATTATTGTCTACAGCAGGAGTGGGGCAGAAAAAGAGGCAAATGTAGGCAGAGCAGACAAAACGGAAGTTCCACCTTTGTGCAGTGGGCGAGTTTCTACACACACTCTCCGTCCCCCAACCAGACAAGCAAGGGGCATAATAAGAGTACAAGGACCTGTTCCGCCCAGGCTAAAACATTTGGGCTTTGAAGATGGGCCAGTGCAGTGTATGGCCTGGGCAAATTTCAGCTGGCTAAGTAGAGAGGCCATCCCTGGGCTGCATTTACCATCATTGCCTCCTCAGGGTTCAGGCAGAAAACATTCCCAGACCTACCTGGAGAAGCCAGGGACTAGACTTGGGACCTTCTGAATGCAAAGCTACTACTTCTCCTATTTCATTAATGCCCCTACTTAGTTTTCCGCCTTCTCCCAATTCTGTTTGAGAATAAGAGCCCAATGGTAATGGTTTTGCTGGCTTTTAAAAGAGGATGATCTGATACTCCCTGCCCCCAAAGAGGAGTTAGTCTGGTTAACATTTGAGGATGTCTGCAGATGGACTCTTCTGTTCCAATGCAATTTGTCTTGTCTTGAAAGCTTTAAGATCCAAATCCAGAAAATACACTATACCGGGGTTTCCCAAACTTGGGTCTGCAGATGGTTTTGGACTACAACTCCCATCATCCCTAGCTAGCAGGACCAGTGGCCAGGGATGATAGAATTGTAGTCCAAAAAACCCACAAGTTTGAGAAACCCAGCATTATACAATACACATTGATGGTGCACTCAGGCAGACACACCCTGATCTGCCTTGGACAGAACAGCTGCATAAAATTGCATAAGAGCTTTGCTGGATCAGACCAAATGATCATATAGTATTGTTGACTGTTGTCTCAGTGGAAACCCAAACAGAAAACCCCAAAGCAGAACATGAGTGCAGCAGCTCTGAGGCATACTAAAGTCAACAGGGTTAGGACATAGCCGTAATGGGTTGTAGGTAAAGGGACGCAGGTGGCGCTGTGGTCTAAACCACTGAGCCTTTTGGGCTTGCCGATTGGAAGGTCGGCAGTTCAAATCCCCTTGACAGAGTGAGCTCCCATCGCTCTGCCCCAGTTCCTGCCAACCTAGCGGATCAAAAGCACACCAGTGCAAGTAGATAAACAGGTACCGCGGTGGCAGGAAGATAAATGGCATTTCTGGTTTCCGTCACGGTGTCCCATTGTGCCAGAAGCTAGTGTTAGGTCCATCATGATACGTCCGCCAGCTTCTAATCACAGATACCAGCAGCCTTCAAGCAAGCAAACGTGCCTTATTATCGCTCCCTAGCATCCCACTGCCAGAGGATTGCCTACTTCCATTCACCAGTTTGCCTCCTGCAAGTGGAAGAAACCTGGGCAGTGCTGAATGTCACATCCATTGCCAGGTGTGTCCTGCTGGAAATATAAAAGGGCTTTACCCTTGGCCTGCCTTTATATCCCCTCAGTTGCCAAGTGCTTTTGTGACATCACAAGAAACCCACAGCCAATGGCAACAGCTGGGGAAGCATTGTCTTCATTGCTTTGAGCCTCACAATGGCAGGTGGACCTATCAGTGACTGTGTGCTTGTTTATTCAGGACATTGGTGGTGCTGTGGTCTAAACCACTGAGCCTCTTGGGCTTGCCGATCGGAAGGTCGACGGTTTGAATCCCTGTGACAGAATGAGCTCCCGTTGCTCTGTCCCAGTTCCTACCAACCTAGCAGTTCGAAAGCACACCAGTGCAAGTAGATAAATAGGTACCGCTGTGGTGGGAAGGTGAATGGCGTTTCTGTGGGCTCTGGTTTCTGTCACGGTGTCCCGTTGCACCAGAAGCAGTTTAGTCATGCTGGCCACATGACCCGGAAAGTTGTCTGAGGGCAAACGCCGGCTCCCTCAGCCTGAAGCGAAATGAGCGCCACACCCCGTAGTCACCTTTGACTGGACTTAACCATCCAGGGGTCCTTTACCTTTTTACCTTAATGGGTTCTAGCCACGGATGACCTAATCCTCCATGCATTTGTCATCCAAGTTGGTGGTCATCCCTCCCTTTTTCTGGAGCAAATCCCGCACTTTAACATGTGCTGTGTGACGAAAGTACTTATTTTTGTCTGCCCTGGATCTTCCAGCGTTCAGCTACTCAGACGTACCAACAAATGCTAGTTATAACAAATTACAGGACCACTAAGCACAGAAATAATCTGGCTGGTAACAAGGAACAAGTGCCATGGAACTGTTCAAAGCAGCAAGCAGGAATGAGAGCATACAGACCTGTCTGGAATCAGGCGTCATCAGGTTTAAGCTGGTGGTAGAGATATTCAGAGTAATGCTCATTCCTGCGAATTGAAGGTTGCTCCTCCCCAAGATACTAGAGAGGGCTTTACTCGGCGGCTGTGAAAGCAAAAATCACACATTTCAGTACTCTAGGAGCGTCTGGTGACACCTGACTCCACGCTGCATAAACGGGGAGCCTCTGGGGTTTATTCGTCAAGAGTGTGACATTTTAATCAACGTTCTACGGCTGCTTTTATCCGAAGTTAGTAAGAAAGAAGTCGCGTGTCAATTCACAAGGAAGGGACAGTGCTACGAGGAGAGAGAAAATGCAGGTTGTTTCCATATAGATAAGGAAAATATAATGATCTAAAGTGGTTGGTGTCATACCAGGGAGATCTGGATTCAAATTCTCCTAAAAACCCTACTAGATAACCTTGCTTCAGTCACCATCTCCCAGCCTACCCTACGAAATGGGAGTGAGGAACCATGGACAGTGGTACCTCAGGTTAAGAACTTAATTTGTTCTGGAGGTCCGTTCTTAACCTGAAACTGTTCTTAACCTGAAGCACCACTTGAGCTAATGGGGCCTTCTGCTGCTGCCATGCTGCCGCCACACGATTTCTGTTCTCATCCTGAAGCAAAGTTCTTAACCTGAGGTAATATTTCTGGGTTAGCGGAGTCTGTAACCTGTATCGTCTGTAACCTGAAGCATCTGTAACCCGAGGTACCACTATACACCATTCTGAGCTCCTTGGGAGAATGGATTGCATATTAAACAAATGTAATAAATAGATAAAAAGAACAAAGGGGCATGAGATGAACACGCAGAGCGATGCCGAATTACCTCAAAGTCACGACAAGTGTCAGAAGAGAAACTTTTCTGCAACAGCAGAAAACTAAAATCTATTAACTATAGAAACATTTGCAATTATATCTGCTAATGAAAGCCACTTTAAATCACTCCATCTAACTCACAGAGTTGAGTAACAAACCATTTGTGTGGATTCTCCACACAGTTGGGACAATTTGGGGCCCCAAGCCCTTCCTTTAGGGTTTGCAAGAGTGGAGGAAAGTGTTGTTTTATTTCATTCAGGAAAAATGCTGTTAGACAAGTATTAACAGGCACACTGGCTGAAAATACAACATACCTTGTTTTCCTAGAGTGGACATGCAAGGGAATGTTGGTTCAGCCAGTGGTGGAGGAAGCCGATTGCCCTCGGCCGCTCTACAGCTGGGGGGAGGCAGTAGGCCATCTTGCCCCCCCCCAGGGTGGCACCTGGGGCGCACCGCCCCCACCCCCGCCCCTGGATCCAGCCAGTTGAAACTTCCTATTCCTCCTGGGCTGGAGCATCCTTCCCTTGCATGTGACTAGAGATGAGCATGACCTTACCTGTCCAGGTAACAAAAGGACAAGTCATGCAGCACTCTCTCTCTCTTTCACTTCCTTCTTCGTTCGACCAGCTTCTCAGCTTGAATGCTCTGCTAGCTGCTAGTAAGCAGAAGCACTGAGATTAACCCCCATGTGGGGTAGATCCACATGTACATGTTTGTAACTAAGTCTGCCTTCAGGAATTCAACTGTGAACTGATGTGAGTAAACTTCTTTTATTAACTTTTAATAAGATTGCTGTGTCTTTATTCTTTTAAGAGGGATTAAAGGGAATTTACCAGGAATTTACAATTCAATCTGAGTCAGACTGAACTGTATACAGTGGTACCTCAGGTTAAGTACTTAATTCGTTCTGGAGGTCCATTCTTAACCTGAAACTGTTCTTAACCTGAAGCACCACTTTAGCTAATGGGGCCTCTTGCTGGTGCTGCACTGCCGGAGCATGATTTCTGTTCTCATCCTGAAGCAAAGTTCTTAACCCGAGGTACTATTTCTGGGTTAGTGGAGTCTGTAACCTGAAGTGTATGTAACCTGAAGCGTATGTAACCCGAGGTACCACTGTAATAGTAAGAGGCTCACACGAGCCTGCTACAAGCTATCTGCTGTGCATGTAAGAATGGGGAATGTAACTCTGCTACATGAAGGAACTTGCTAGCGCAAGTTAGGAAGGATATTAATAAACAATATACAGTGGTGCCTCGCAAGACGAAAAGAATCCGTTCCGCGAGTCTCTTCGTCTTGCGGTTTTTTCATCTTGCGAAGCAAGCCCAAAAGCGGCTTAGCGGCTTAGCGCTATTAGCGGCTTAGCGGGCTTAGCGGATCAGCTGATAAGCGGCTTAGCGGATCAGCTGATAAGCGACTTAGCGATCAGCTGATTAGCGGCTTAGCGGATCAGCTGATAAGCAGCTTAGCGGATCAGCTGATAAGCGGCTTAGCGGCTTGGGGAAAAGGGGGGGAAAGGGGGAAAAACCTGCAGGAACTCGCAAGACATTTTCGTCTTGCGAAGCAAGCCATAGGAAATTCGTTTTGCGAATCACCTCCAAAACGGAAAACCCTTTCGTCTAGCGGGTTTTCCGTCTTGCGAGGCATTCGTCTTGCGGGGCACCACTGTATCCTCTCCTGCCACACTGAACATTCCCACAAAAAATTCTGCACCCAGAGCAGTCGCCCCAGTAGCTCCCCGCTACCCACTGTTAATGCATGATATCAGCGAAACATCTCACTCAAATACATTATTTAGGGAAGTACCAGTGGAAGAATCTCTGTTGACCCCAATAGGAGCGCCAGTATTTGTATGTGCATGTGTGTTGTGATTTTGGTACACAGGTAAAGGATTAACTGCCTTTGCCATGGGCACAATACTGCTCAGTTCCTCCCATGGCAGCAATTCAAAGGACAAAAATTGTACGTGTAAAATGCATACATGGACTTAATGTCGCATCCCGTTTGCTCCCAAGATGAGAGAATATGATCACGTTGACAAAAAGACACAAGGCAAATACCTTTCTTTTTTTAAAGGCTCCTTTGGCTGCCGGCACAGCATCGCAAACAAGGCTGATCGCTTCCCTGGAGAGACAGAAAAGAACATTGGGAAGCAAATGGTTTCATGGTGCCAGAAGCATACAGTTTGGTTTCTCATGGTGACATTCAAGTAATGATCTACTGGAAAGTCTGCATATGGACTAAAGCACTCCGATGCTCATAGCAAACCAAAGTTTGCATTTGAAATATGACACTATTTGATGGTCTCATAGGCTGTATCGAGTATGCTAAAAGTAAGAAAAGCAGGGCAACCAATCTTGCTAATTTTCTTAGGGAATTGTGAAGTTTTAGCATATTCAGAGCTAACCCACAGTTGAGGCAGAGTGAAGCAGCTACCTCAGGTGGTAGAACCATAAGAGGCAGCCCGTGCCCATCCCACAGAAATGCTCTGCTTTTATTCAGGTGTGAATAAGGAAAAGAAACACAAATAATAATAATAATAATAATAATAATAATAATAATAATAATAATAAAATTATTTATATCCCGCCCTCCCCAGCCGAAGCCAGGCTCAGAGCGGCTAACAGCAGTAAAATGACAAAACATTCTAAAATAATTTCATTATAAAATTAATTCCCATCAGATTAATGGCAACCATTGGGCTAGAGTTCTGTGAGGATTCTTTTCTGCTTTTGTTCTTCTTCAGATGGTACGTACTTATGCAAGGTAGTTCAAAAGATAGGTGTGGAAAAGTATTTGCAGTACATCATCTCATATTACCTTGTAATCTGTGTTCTAGTATTGAAGTCAAGGGATCTCATGGAACGCAATACCTCTATACATCCCAAATACTACGGGAAGGAGAAGAAAATGGTAAATAAGCATCAGTGAGAAAGCTTTATAACAGGCATTTTAAAATGCAAAATAAAAGCACAAATCATTTCCTCCCACAAGTGCACACAAACAGATGGAGAATGGGGCACACATAGGAATTTATATAGCTTTATTTATGCATGTTCTTATACTGTATGTCTCATTTTCACCAAACAAGAGTCCCCACACAAACTGATAAAACAAATAAAAGTATAGTATAATAGTCCCCACAAAATTAACAATATTAAAATTAAATAATAATAATAATAATAATAATAATAATAATAGAAGGGAAGAAAACCACAGCCCTTTATTGACGCAGAAACTGTTCCCACCCACCAGATTCTTACATGGATGCACGGCTGTTAATGGGCAAGCCAGGCCCTTCCCCACTTGACACAGTGAGATCAAGTTGCGTGATCTACAAAAAGCAAAACATCTCTTTGGAGAGGTGAAGAAGAGTGAGCAACTGGATCAATGTATTTGTGCAGGGGAATCATCTTCAAAAGGAACAGCTTTTGACAATGGAACTGTTCTTTAATTTTTTTAGTGATGTGTTTTTTTGTTTTTTGGACAAAGTAATAATCCTAAACAAATAAGAATAAAAATGTGCACCCCACCAAAGAGACCATTCCATTGTAACTATCCAACCTATCCAAAATGTCAACACCTTTTGCAATGGTTTGACCCCTTTCTGTTTTAACAGTACAAATTCTACAAACACCCTCCGTATCTCCTCAAAATCATTTCTCCTGCATATTCCCAGTCTTACCGTAATGGCACACGTTAATTTATCATTAATATCCCACACCTCTTTATACCATTCTTCCATTTTATATTCTGCTTGCCCCTTCCACTTCCTGGCTATAATAATTTGTGCAGCTGTCAATAAAGTTGTGAGCAAGTCCTTCATAGCCTGCGAACCTTCCACCCCATCGCAAATTGATAATAATGCTACCTCTGGACTTTTGGTCAGCTTTAACTCAGTGAGGGGACGCGGGTGGCGCTGTGGGTAAAAGCCTCAGCGCCTAGGGCTTGCCAATCAAAAGGTCGGCGGTTCGAATCCCCGTGGCGGGGTGCGCTCCCGTTGCTCGGTCCCAGCGCCTGCCAACCTAGCAGTTCGAAAGCACCCCCGGGTGCAAGTAGATAAATAGGGACCGCTTTCTAGTGGGAAGGTAAACGGCGTTTCCGTGTGCGGCTCTGGCTCGCCAGAGCAGCGATGTCACGCTGGCCACGTGACCCGGAAGTGTCTGCGGACAGCGCTGGCCCCCGGCCTCTTGAGTGAGATGGGCGCACAACCCTAGAGCCTGTCAAGACTGGCCCGTACGGGCAGGGGTACCTTTACCTTTACCCAACCCAGTGAGACAATGGAACTTGTTAAGTTGTGGGTGAACATATCAGATGACACAGCAATTCTTCAAACAGCTGTTGTTTATTCACAGGCCAGAACATAACTGGGCTGAAGGGTTCAGCCAACCTACTTATACAGTGGTAACTCGGGTTAAGTACTTAATTCGTTCCGGAGGTCCATTCTTAACCTGAAACTGTTCTTAACCTGAAGCACCACTTTAGCTAATGGGGCCTCCTGCTGCCACCGTGCCACCAGAGCACAATTTCTGTTCTCATCCTGAAGCAAAGTTCTTAACCCGAGGTACTATTTCTGGGTTAGCGGAGTCTGTAACCCGAAGCATATGTAACCCGAGGTACCACTGTATAGAGCTCAACTACAAGGCAACAGTAACAACTTTCTGTAACTATCCAATCACTGAACGTCACTTTCAATTCCTTGTTTGCATATGTGGACCTGAGTGAAAACTATCTGCAGTATCCCCCTGCTGGCCCAGGGTGAGAACTTCAGTACACAACACAACTGTTCTTTTGTTGTTCGCATAAGACATGCTAGAAACCTCTGGCTCACGCCATGCTGTTCTGGGTTCCTAAGGAGTCCTTGGATTCCCCACTTTCCTTCAGGGTTCATTTCCAACTTTACACCAGATACTCAGTGAAAAGTAACTGAGGATGGACACCAGCCCCACTGAAAGCTGTCGATGCAGTGGATCTAAACACTCTTCACATGCCATGCCTGCATTACGCTCAGACTATAAATAATGAGTGTGTGCACATTCACCCAAATCTGGTTAAGCAAGAACTCAAGTAAGTAGAGAGCTGGGAATTGGATTGTTGAAGCAGAGGAGGCACAGAGGTGAGGAGCTCAACACCCCTCTGCAAGTTCCCTCCTCGCAGCTTCTCTCTCCTCCAAGTTCACTGTGTGTTATGTACTAAGCTTGGATCTTAGAACAATAGGCAAGTAGGATACTAGAATGCAACAACTGATTGGCTTGCAGGAAAAGACCAATCAGGCTCCAGGAGGAAGTTAATCAGCCTATTAGGCTGGTAGGATCGTAGAATGCAACAACTGATTGGCCTGCAGGAAAAGACCAATCAGGCTCCAGGAGGGAAGCAGAATCAGCGAATCAGACGGGACTCATTGTGTAAATAATGTATATAAAAGCCTGAGGTTTGGGGGGCAATTCAATCACTGTTTTACAAGCTGCAATAAAGAGCATGAAATCACTACAGGCCTCCGAGTATATTTCACTGTGGCACCAAGAAGCCAGCGAGGAGAGCACTAGCTTCTGGGCACTTAGAAGCAGTCGTGGAGAATCAGCATCCCGCTTGACCTTTTGCTGTAGAAATGCGACCGCAGATACTGCCGTATGCACAGAACACAGATCTACCTCCATCACATGGAGTCGGAGTTTTGAACTCTCTAAACACGCCCTTCACCGCTCAGCCCTGTAAAATGCTACGCAGCAGATCTACACGGGAGGTAGTGTAATGCAGGGGTGAGACCACCCAACTCACATTCCTGCATGCACAAACACATAGAGAACACACAGAGAGAGACAGACAGACAGACAGACAGACAGACAGTCCTCCCTCTTCAGCTGATCCATTTGGGAAGGAGGAGTATCGCCCTTTCTGCACACACCAGACAACTGACTCAATGATTGGGAAGAGGGCAATTTGCACCCCTACCAAGGCACCAGATTCTGCCCAACCAGCGCAGTGTCTACTTAAGTCCCACCCACCCACTTCCACCCTGTTTTTAGCTGCTACTGCCAGAATTGTTTGGTCCTTGGAGTAGGGTTACCAGACATCCCCGTTTCCTGGGGACAGTCCCCGGATTTGCAAATAAGTCCCCGGACAAATTCCATCCCCGGAATGTCCCCGGATTTCATCTAATGTCCCCGGGAAACACAGCAGCAGCAGTCTCAGCAGCCCGGAGCAGTTGGCTCTGTCTGGCTTCAGGAGCTGCTCAGAAGTCCCCATATGATGGTGGTGCAGGGGCTCGAAGATGCAGCTTCCGGGCTGCCTCCACCTTCCCTGACCCCAGCGACTAAGCTGTGAAGGGAGGCTTCATGCTGCCTATCGGAGCTTGCATGCAAGCAGGAGGGGCAGGGATCTCTCAGTTAGGCAACGGGAAGCCTCCCTTCCCAGCTGAGGGATCCCCGCCCCCTCCTGCTTGAACGCAAGTAGGGATGGGATTGGGGCTGTTCCGATGCGAAGGAAGGCATTGTGCTTCCCCTAGCCTCGCCGCCGCCACCACTGTTCTCGGCCCTCCTTCTCCGCCTTCCATGCCTGATCCACCGTGCACCGCTTCCCCACCACCACCACCGAAGAACCAACAGGCTCATGGAGAAAGGAGATAGAAGCCTCGGAGGAAGGCGGAACATGGTGGTTGAGGTCAAGGTGGCGGCTGCCCTTCAGCCATCGCCATCGCTGCATTTATTTATTTGTTTAAAGTGTCCCCGGATTCATTGAAAAAAATATGGTAACCTTACCTTAGAGGCCAGATAAATTTGCAGCAGGGGGTGGGCAGATCAGGCCTATGAACTGGGAGTTGCAACCCCTAATCAATCACCCACCAATGTGAATGAGATATCAATTCCTCTTAAAGGAGGGAGCGTGTTGCGATCAGATTTCTAAGCACCCCCCGCCTCCCGGCGTGGGCAGGGCTATGCCCTGCTCCAGTCTGGTTCATCATTTCACTGTCACTTGGACCCTTGGCTTGGGAGGTGACTGCAAAACAATATTTAAGCCCTGTGTGTTGTTTGCTGGTTTTATTTGCCTTCGTGCAGTGGACCCTTTTAATGAGGGTCCAAGTGACCTTTTAATGAGGGTGAAAGAGGAGAGCGCAAGATATGGTCTGAAGCTCAACATCAAAAAAACAAAGATCATGGCCACTGGGCCCATCACCTCCTGGCAAATAGAAGAGGAAGAAATGGAGGCAGTGGGAGATTTTACTTTCTTGGGCTCCATGATCAATGCAGATGGTGACAACAGTCACGAAATTAAAAGATGCCTGCTTCTTGGGAGAAAAACAATGACAAAGCTAGACTGCATCTTAAAAGCAGAGACATCACCTTGCCAACAAAGGTCTGTATAGTTAAAGCTATGGTTTTCTCAGTAGTGATGTATGGAAGTGAGAGCTGGACCATAAAGAAGGCTGATCGCCGAAGAATCGATGCTTTTGACTTATGGTGCTGGAGGAGACTCTTGAGAGTCCCATGGACTGCAAGAAGATCAAACCTAGCCATTCTTAAGGAAATCAGCCCCGCGTGCTCACTGGAAGGACAGATCCTGAAGCTGAGGCTCCAATACTTTGGCCACCTCATGAGAAGAGAAGACTCCCTGGAAAAGACCCTGATGTTGGGAATGATTGAGGGCAGAAGGTGAAGGGGACGACAGAAGACGAGATGGTTGGACAGTGTTCTCAAAGCTACCAGCATGAGTTGCACCAAACTGCAGAAGGCAGTGGAAGACAGGAGTGCCTGGCGTGCTCTGGTCCATGGGGCCACAAAGAGTCGGACACGACTAAACGACTCAACAACAACAACTAAGCGGACCCCCCACCCACCCACCCTTTATTTAGGTCCGTCTGGCCTTGCTATGGGCTTGTTGGCTGCCTGTTTTG